TACTCCCTGTTAAAAGAAGGATCCATTTTTAGAGGTATGGTTTTAGCCTAATGACAAATTATAGGTATTAAAAGTATAATTTGCTATTTGCCTTCATGAAAAGTTACACTGGGAACCAGAGTAACCAGGAAAAGCTAGGGATGACTTTGTATTAAGGATTTTAAGAGCTTTTAAAAGACTGACTGGGACACACTTTAATGATGCATAGTCACATATCTGTAGAGCTCAAATGTTGATTGCTCTTCTGGCTATTATGCACGAAAGAAAAAACCTTAGATGTTCCCTTAGTGAAGGCTTCTTTTTTTTGAGTGATTCCTTAATGAAACCTTGTTTCCACATACAAGTAGAATCATAGATTCTATTAGCAAGAGAAGGGTAAAGGAACAGAGGATCAGTGGTGAGATTTGATAATTATTACTATGGTTTTCTTCATATCATATATCTGGGCCAGGATAAAGTAAAGTATTAGAAATTCTCTTCTTTGTCTATGATCTTGGTCCCTTCATGAAGTGGAGTTCCTTATGATGGGGGTTAAGAGGGTTGATATACTTAATGATTTAAAAAAAAAAATACTCTGCAATGTATTCTCTATCAAAGTTAAGACTCTCCTTCTCTTTTTGCAACTATTTTGTCTTGCTTCAAGTAGACTTTTTATGCCTCCAACTTCAGAAAGGACTAAAATCATGAAATCTGAGTTCTACTATAAAACATATTTACCTCAGTTAATCGTGTTTTCAAAACTATCATCCTCCCCTGTAGTCTTATAGGATATATGATTCTGTGAGTATTCTTCTAGGTTTTAGGCTTGTTGCTTTTGCTACTCCGTGGACTCCTTCCCTTCTTCCTTCAAATATGTAAAGGTCTCTTTTGGTGGTTAGTAATGGGTTTTGGAGCCTCTACTGGGGCTCCAAATAAGTCCTGGGGTGGCTAATTACTATCTCTGTGACCTTGAGCAAGTTTCTTAACCTTTCTCCTTTCATTTCTTCACCTGTAAAATGAGAAAAATAATAATTCCTATCTTATAGGGTTGGTGTGAGGATTAAATGAGTTAATGCTTTGAGTTACATAGAAGAGTGTTTGACACTTAGTAAGTCCTCAGTAAACGTTAGTTATTACCATTGTCTTAACTACCTTCCTCCTCCTCCTCATCCCCCTACATCTGCTTGGTCACTAAGATATGTCAGTTTTTCTTTTTAGACTCTAGAGCATTCATTTCTCATTTCCCACTGGCACTGACACCGTTCTAGACCATGATATTGCTACCTCGTGCCACAATTTCCAAGAGAGCTTCACTTCACTTAACCTCCTGCCTCTAATCTGTGCTTATGTTTTTCATTACTGGACTAATAACAGTTTTGTATTGTCACTCCCCTGTCAAGAGCATACAGCAGTTTTTCAGTAACTTGTTTCATCAAGCCCAGATTCCTCTGTCTCACTCTTGCTAAGCATTACTCTCTTGTTCCACTCAGGCCAGTCTCATACTTTCTCATCTACATCACACACTTGGACATCTGCTCATGTTCTTCCTTTGGCCTTTATGCCTTTCCTTTGGGCCCTTACCCTTCTACTCTTACTATTTCTGTCCTACCCATACTTCAAGAATCCAACGTTTCTAAGAAGCCTTTCTGGCTTTTAAGAACTGATCTTGGGTAGCAACAGGATTGGTAAAACTGGGAGAGACTCAGACAGGAATGACAGGTTGATTTAGAGATAAGAGTATGGATTGGGGGTCAGGGCCTTTAAATTCAAAAATGGCAAATAGGAACTAAAGTCTGCAAAGCAGGTCTAAGAGGGAAGGACTAGTTTAAGGTATAAGAATTGGTAGTGGAGAGATGGGATGTGAGTAACAACTGAGAGCAAAGCATTGTTGAAAATCTGAGATGGCATTCAGGTTTGAGACAGACCAGGGCAGATCCAGATGGATCAGATGGTTTTTAAGGTCCACATGGCCAGGCAAGATAGCATATTTCTGAATTGACAAGAGGAGCCAGTAATGTTAAGATCAGAAACAGGAGTTAGAAATCTGAAGCAGTCAGTATTAGGGTCTCGGGCACTGGAAGATTGGGGACATAACCAATAAAATAGAGCCCCTGGTTAGGTTAGAGTATCACGATCAGTACAGGATGACAGCAAAACTGAATTTGCTGAGTCATAGAACAACTTACATTTCCTTCTGGCTAAGATTAGAACTGGGTTGTGAGAATAATGCTATATTGAGACAACTTGATAGGCTCCCTTGCCAGAGGTATAAGGATAGAGTGACTACATTAATCCGACCAATAAAGCCTTCAGAGATTTCAGTGTGCTTAGTGTACATCCCATATTACTTAACTCTTGATTGAGCACACTACTGTCTTGTGTTGCTGTGACTGACTTAAGTAAATCTCTCTTTCTCCATTCATATCTTAACCTAGTTCAAATGAGGACCATTTTAAAAACAGAGCTTTATTGTGGTATGATTAACATATAGCTGCATATATTTAAAGTGTACAATTTGATAAGTTTGAAATACGTATACACCTGTGAAACCATCACCACAATTAAGATAATGAACATATTCATCATCCTCAAAAGTTTTGTTGTGCCCTTTTGTAATTCTTCTTTTCTGCATTTCTCTGCTCCTTCTCCCCTCCCACATTCACTGATTTACTTGCTGTCACTATACATTAGTTTTTATCTTCTAGAGTTATTAAATAGAGTAATACAGTATAAACTCCTTCTGTCTGGCTTCTCTCACTCAGCATATTTCTTTATTTATTTTTACCTTTTTTTTTTAGCATAATTATTTTGAGTGTGTCAATAGTTGATTACTTTCTGTTGCCAAAGAGTATTTCATTGTATGGTTATACCTCCATTTGTTTATCCATTCACCTTTTTAGGGACATTTTGTTGATTCTAGTTTTTGGCTATTGCAAATGCAACTGGGATGAACATTTGTGTACAAATCTTTGTGTGGACATAATGCTTGCTTTCTTTTTTTTTTTTTTTTGTGAGGAGGACACTAGCCCTGAGCTAACATCCAATGCCAATCCTTCCCTTTTTTCTTGAGGAATATTGGCCCTGGGCTAACATCTGTGCCCATCTTCCTCTACTTTATATAGGACGCCACCACAGCATGGCCTAACAAGCGGTGCGTTGGTGCGTGCCCAGGATCTGAACCTGTGAACCCTCGGCCGCTGCAGCGGAGCGCGTGCACTTAACCGCTGCGCCACCGGGCGGGCCCCAATGCTTTCATTTTTTTAGGAGTGAAATAGCTGAGTCAGATGGTAGGAGCATGTTTAACTTTTTAAGAAATTGCTAAACTGTTTTTCAAAGTAGTTATACCGTTTTACATTTCCACAAGTACGGGCTGAGTTTCAGTTCTACATCCTTGCCGCACTTGGTATGGTCACTCTTTTTAATTTTAGCTATTCTGGTGTGTGTTTAGTGGTAGCTCCTTGTAGTTTCAGTTTGCCTTTCCTTAATGACTAAATGATGTTGAGCATTCTTTTGTGTGCTTATGTGCCATCCCAATGTATTCTTTGATCAAGTATCCATTCACATCTTATTTAAAAAAATGTTTTTAATTGTGGTTAAATACACATAACATAAAATTTACCATCTTAACTATTCTAACTATATAAACAGTTAGTAGTGTCAAGTATATTTACACTATTGTTCAACCAGTCTTCAGAGCTCTTTTCATCTTGCAAAAGTCACCTATTTTTTAAAAATATTAGGTTGTTTGTTTTGAAATTTCTTTGTATATTTAGATACAAATTTCTTTTATCCGATACATGCTTTACAAATATTTCCTCCCAGTTTGTGTCTTGTCTTTTCAGTTTACTGCACATCTTGAAATCAGCGATGGTGGGACAGATCTACTCCATATAAATTGGCAAAATGCTGCAAATCAGGGCTTTATTTTTTGTTGATTGTCTATACTTAAGAAAGTAATGGGGAAAAGTTAATAATGCAGATTAAACTTAAAATTATGTTGTATCTGTAGCCTTTACATTGTGAATAGCACAAAAAAGTGAGGAAGGAAATATTCTTTCTAGTATTTGAAAGCTATTATCTAATCAGAAAAGAAGTCATTCAAGTCATTGTCGAATGAGGGCAGTTCAGGCATGTGTTGATGCACTCTTGTCAGTTGCAATCATTGGTTGGCTATGGATAAGAGAGTTCAGCTAAAATCAGTGAAAGCATTCTGTGACAATCAATTGACTGTGGAATTTGCAATAAAGAGTATATTTTTTTCATTATTTGTAAATTGTGTGATATATATCTTTTTATTTCAGTAAAATTTGTAATAAGCTTATGTACCTATGTATATGTATACATTTTTTTTTCTGCAGAGCCAATTGTTAAACATTTGTCAGCATACCGTGGGCCACACACTAATAAGTAAGCACTAAGGGAAGTGTTTCTAGACTCATGTAACTGGAATGAGTCAAGAAAGAAAAACGAGGTCTGGGAACAAGTCATTCTATAGATGTTAAGAGAACCAATCTAATGCTAAGACCAGAGGATGAAAAGGCTGAATAGATAGCGAGAGAAAATGAAAGACATAATATACAGAAGGCCGAGTCAATTCTCTTACCACTAAAGACACAGAGGGAAAGGAATTGATAGTTGTGGGATATTTGCTTTGGTCTGATTTGACTTGCTCTTGGTCCTACCATTGTTATGTAATAAGTCTGCTAAAGGTATTGAAGAGCAATATTAAAAACTCATTAGTGTTACATTAGTACCTTCAAGTAATCTTTGAGTATCTCCAAATCTAATTTTCTTTCAGACCAAAAAAATTACAGAATACTTTTAAAATTTAAAATTGGAACACAGAACCATTATGTGTCCCCTATTCTAGAAATTGCATCGTTAGCTCCATTACTTTTTAATCTATATGCTCAATTCTGTTGTGTTTACTATAGTTATTATATTTCTTTCAAAAGTTCTTTTTTTCAGAATATCTTGATTTTGAATCTGATGATTAAGTTTAAAAATATTTTGTTTTGTAGCCATGCAGGATATACATACTGTGGGTCTTGTGCTGCTCATGCTTACAAACAAGTGGATCCATCTATTACGTAAGTAATATAGTTAGATACCATTTTGTTTAAGTGGGAGAAGATTGGGACTTATAATTGCTTTGTCACTGAAGTAATTTGTTTTGCATACTTATTGTTGTTATAATCTCAATTTCATTAGGAATTTGACTTTTTATAAATTTAGTTAAACCTTTTATAGGTTATGAGTAAAGCTTTTATAGGTTATGAAAAGCTTTAATACTGTTTTTTGTCTGAACATTTAGTTTTTATCTTCCCTTTGGTAAAATGTTTAGTTTTGGAAATGTTAGAAGGTTAACGTGATATTGTGATTTATAAGAAATATATATTTGGTCATTCAGGTGACCAAAATACATTTCTCATATGTATTTGGTCTTCATCCACAGTTCCTGGCTCACAGCTCCCAAAACCCTTCGAATTTCCTAAGTGTTGTTATGCCAGTGAGGTGACTTTTGGACCCCACCTAAGGATGGGGGTTGGTTGCCAGGAGAACCAACCATGTGATTAGAGGATCAGAACTTTCAGTCCCACTCCTAGACTTCCAGGGAGGGGAGAGAGTCTGGAGGTTGAATCAGCTGCCAATGGCCAGTTATTTAATCAATCATGACAATGTAACTGGAAGTCAGACTTCCAGTTATAAAATTAATAAGTCATGAGGATGTAATGTACAGCATAGGGAATATAGTCAATAATATTGTAATAATTTTGTATGGTGACAATAACTAGACTTGTTGTGGTAATCATTTCATAATGTATATAAATATTAAATCATTCTGATGTATACCTGAAATTAATAGGATATTGTATGTCAATTATACTTAAACTAAAAAACAAAAGTAATGGAGGAATGCTTAATGTGAAAAAAATCATGACTATGTAATGCAGCCTCTATAAAAACCTAAAAGGACAGGGTTTGGAGAGCTTCCAGGTTGGTGAACACATGGAGATCTGAGGGAGAGTGGTGCACATGGAGAGGGCATGGAAGCTCCATGCCCTTTCCCCATATCTTGCCCTATGCATCTCTTCCAACTGCCTGTTCCTGAGTTATATCTTTTTATAATAAACTGGTGATCTAGTAAGTAAAACGTTTCTGTGAGTTTTATGAGCCACTCTAGCAATTAATCAAACCCAAGGAGTGAGTCATGGGAACCTCCAGTGTGTAGCAGGTGGGTCAGAAGCACAGGTAACAACTTGGCCTTGTGACTGACATCTGAAGTGGGGGTCGGAGGTGAGCAGTCTTATGGGACTGAGCCCTCAACCTGTGGAGTCCGATGCTCTCTCTGGGTAGATAGTGTCAGAACTGAGTTGACTTGTTAGATGTCCTGCTGATGTCCGAGAATTGCTTGTTGGAGGTGTGGGGGACTCCTCGCTCCCCACATTGGCATTGGTCCAGGAACACTAGCAGTTAAATATTTTGGTTTTTAATTTTTCTTTGGAAATCTGGAGATGAGCATTTTTAAGAAAAATGCAAAGCCTTTTTGTTCAATTTTAATCACTTTATAATTTAGAATTCTTTATTATACTTGTTAAGTTGTGGTTAATGAAAGAAGAATAATTTCTCATTGACAGGATAAGGTACCTGAATTATTTCAGAATTCAACAGTGAATTTAATATGGTGTTTGAAGCATATTAACTCTTAATAATTCACTGACAGCTCTGAAATTAGCTATAAGTATAGAGAAATAATCTTCCTGGCAAATTGAGACTGATTGAGTAGTATATACTACTTTCTAAAGTCAGAAACTTGTGAACTCTTAAAAGCTTAGTATACTACTCTAGAGAGTAGTAATAAGAAATAAGTAAGTAATAAGTAATATTACTCTAGAGAGTAATAAGAAACTTGTGAACTTTCAAAAGCTTCTGTTGGAAATAGCCACCGAAATTACTTAATTGGCTGACCGGCATTTTATTTAAATGGTTTATTCACTGTATGTGAACTAGTGTCAGGGTCCAGTCTGTATTGCCAGTTGTACACAGAGTATGAATAGATAAATCGATCATCTTAGTTTTGTCAAATGTTGATTGTTAGGTTAGACCTGTACTCTTAGAGATGAAGCATAATCATTTCAAAAGAGGTAACTCACAGCAGCCATGAGTTTAAAAAGAAAATCTCACCCATAGCCTGCTCTTTTGCCTTTGGGCAATTTGTTCAAATTTTTAAAACAAAAGAGCTGCTCTGCCTGTCACAGCACGGCTTGATGAGTGGTGTGTAGGTCCGCGCCTGGGATCTGAACCTGTGCCACCAGAGCAGAGCACGGCGAACTTAACCAATACGCCACTGGGCCGGCCCCAAGAGCTGCTCTTTTTTGTTTTTATGTAGTATGTCTGCACATTGTATCATATCTTTGGTGAAAATTATTTTTAGTAACTTTTTAATAGTAAATAAAATGATAGTGTTGCCAAATTTTGAGGTTTTTAGCCCTGCCTCATTTATGATGTTTTGAGGGGTGTCTTTAACAAATATTTCTTGTTACATATTAAATATACAATTTTAAATATTTTTTTCATGAATAAGAGCAAATAGATATTAGATTGGAAAGATTTTCAGAAGCTTCTTGTATTTGATCCTGGGCCCATCAACCAGCTATAATCAAAGTTAGTTTATATAGCAGCCTTTTCCAAACCTTTTTTATTTGGCAGAATTTTTGTTGATGATGTTAGGTGCCGGAAGGGTACTTTGAATTAAATTTAGCCTAAGAATACATAGAGAGGTATAGAGCCTATATAGGTAGAAATGGAAAGCGTGTATTAAATAAATTGATGGAAAGAAGGGAAGAGAGCAAAGGACTAAGAAAAAGTGATAAAGGAGATTAGTAAAAAGAGAGGCAAATGATGGATGATGATGTGATCAACTTATTTTTGTAATTAATATATAATAATTGGATTCTGAATAAATAAATTTGAAGGTCTGTGTTAAAAATAACAATTGACAGTTATAGTTGTATTGTCTTGAAAGTGGCCCTCCATGACATTTGCAGTGTCTTCAGAGTGCTTTGAGAAAATAGAGAAAGAACATCCTTTTGGAAACTATAAGTATAGAGAAAAAATAACAGTCCAAGAGAGAAGGTTAAATTCTATACTACCAGCTTCCATTCTTACCTTCCACACTAATCCATTCTCTACATGTTAACCAGGATCATCTTTTGTACTGTCTTGCACTTTGAATGGATCTTTTACCTTTGCGTGATTTTGTGATATCTTGTGTGGAACATATGGAACGTATTTGTTCATTGAGTTATGCAGATCTTTCAAATGTTGACATTTCATCATACAATATCAAAAAATCACATTTGTTAATATCACCACCAATTTCATCAGAAAAATCTTTAATTATTGGCAAGCTGTCAATCTCACAGTGTTAGAAGTTTTGCAAAAATCTAATTTTCACTTAAAAGCTTTGATTTTATCATTGGCAACAAATATGTCAAATGTTTTCTCTGAAGTGGCAGGCTCATTTTGTTCATTTTCTAGAAAATTTCTGCCAGATACCTAAATTGGAATAACCATAATTTGTCTACAGTCATTTTTTGAAGTAAAAATTGTGTTCCATGAAAAAAATGTCTAGTTTAGCTCACAACTAAAGTCACGCAAGTGCTTTTCCCTGAGACATACTTCTGTGTGCAGTGAAAGTGCTTTACGCGTTTATCACAACAAATTGAATGCATTTTGTCATATAGAATATTTTTATAAAACTGTACTCAAAGTTCAAGATTTAATGAAATTAGGTGAAACTGGCCTTTTAAGAAAAAACATGGTGTGAGTGAAGGTGAAGAATACATGACCACTGGTACGTTTTGATTTAATTACCTTCAAATTTACCCAGCTTCACTTTTGTACCGTAAGTGCAAATGTCAACAGTGAAAAAGGTACATAACTTCTTTGTATTATTATGAAGATAGTTTTGATTTTGTGCACTGCTTGAAAGGTTCTTGAGGAATCCACAGTTCACACTGAGAACTGATATAGGGTGATTGGATTTAGATTGTGGATAAGGTGTTGGGAAAGGAATCTGAGGAAATGATTTTTAAGCCAAGCAAAAGGAACAATAGCATGTGTGAAAGCTTTGAAGTAGGCAAAGTGTCATCAAGGAACTATAAGACGACCAGTATACATAAAGTATTGTGATCGAGGGAGGAAGCGTAATACAAGAGGGGGCCAGTTCATTTGAGACTTTAGAACCCGTTTTAGTGATTTTGGAATTTATCCTCTGACCGTGAAAAGCCCTTGATAGACTTTTAAGCAAGGGAGTGATGTGATCTGTTGTATGTTTCAAAAAAGAGCACTCTGGCTGTTTAAGGAATTTAAAAAATGATACATTAAATTCTTTTCCATATTTATAGTTGCAAAGTCTTTTCCTATTATTAAAACTGTAATTAAGAACCAGAACTCAAGATGTACTTAGTAACTTGATTTTAATTCATATCTTTCAGAAAGCTTTGCAGGGCAGAAAAAGAGAGCAAAAAGGAATCTTCTTTGGGGCCACATGACATTTTTATTCTTGAGTTAAAATATCTCCGCTTGCTATGAAACACTTAAAAAATTGCTTGTGTTCTATTACTTAGAATAAGTAATTGAATATTTATGAGGGCAGATACTCAGGTAACTTAATGTGTTGGGTGCATAGACTACACTCATCACAGTAAGTAACTCCACAAATGCGAATTCTCTGGAGATATATGTGAACTATGTTTATTTCTAAAAGAATGCCTACTGATTTTTTTCCATTTTTTCATATTAAAGGCTTGTTTTATATGTATGGCAACAGTAATGATATGCTAATATTTCAAAGTTACTCCTTTAAAGACAAAGCACCTTGCAATTAATTAAAGGGAGAGAAAGTGGCATTGTTTCCAATGCCTATGTTACTCATTTCTCTCTAAAATATTCCTATGCCTTGGTGTTTATGGATCTAGCAAACTAGCAAAGAAAGAAAATGCATTATCTTTTATTTATACAGTTTTCTTTTTGTTAGCATATAGCTAACAAAGAGACCCATTTTGAGATTACTGCTGGTTTAATATGCACTTTTTTTTTTTTCTTTTCAACAAACCTAGCCTTTTTTGGTTTGTTTTTGGATACATCACATTTAAGGGTTTTATGTGGATGGGACCTAAACCTCTTTTTTCTTGTTATCTCTTTTAACCAAATGTGGAACTTCGCTGTGTTGCCTTTGGATGAGTTACTGCCAAACTGGAAAGAATCTGTTTGGTACACAGTTGGATAATTCAGACTGCTGGGAGCTCTTTTCCCCATCAGTCTTCATCTTTTCATCTAGGTTGGGTCTGACAAAAAGGCAAGCAAGGTAAATAGTCAGGTATTAAAGGAGGCAATTAGGCTGTCCAAGACAACCTCGGGTGTTTATTTCTGTAGTAGTGCTCATCTTTTGGCCACTGTTAGAACCTTGTTACACTTACCTATGAAATGTATCTATGCCTTGAATTTAGATTGATATTTTAAAAGTTATTTCATATTTTAATTATGTATTGTGGATTTCCCAGGAGTGTTGTGACTTTAAATATTCTGTCCCTTTCTCTTTTCATAGAAATGCATTCCTCAGTCGTAAAAATGCCTTTTTTTCATACTTGATTCTTGGTTCATATAATACCTGTCCTCAGGCAAATCACTTAAACACTCAGAGTTATTATTATATATGTCCCACATTAGACTTCAATTTAAAAAATTGTGATGATATTTATGTGCTGTTAAGATAGGAGAACTTAGTGGTATCTCTTTTGTTCATTTAGGAATCTATAGATTTGATCTTTTTTTATGAAATGTTTATTGAGTTGATCATAGAGGTGATGACAAGAAGTGAGTAATTGGAGGGGGAGGAGGAGGAAAAGAGATTATGTGTCTGACTAGAAATGGTGTGTGGATGAAGTGTTATATGTTTGCTATGTGTGATAACTTGAGGAGGTTTGGGGACTCTAAACGGGTAATTGCTTTTTCTTTATCACATCTTTCTTACCCCTCAACCCCCCATATAGCAAGTACCATGTAGCAGACAAAAGTTTGATTTTCCTAGATGTAATAGAATTTTATCAAAATAAGTATATTGCTAAATCACACATTCCTTGGCCTGCAAGTTTTTGATATGAAAGAACTAGCTCATGTGTCAGTCTTTGTCCATTAATTGAGCAATGAGTAGTACTTAATTTTCTAGGTACATAGCCTATCATAATATATCATATATTCCCTTCTTTCTCATAGTTTTGGTTTTTTTGGGTCTGTAAGTTTGTGTGTGTGTGTGTGTGTCATGGGGAATGTTTCATTTATATGAATCTAGGAAAACAGAAAATGGATAGTTTTGGAATTTAGATTGTAGGGATGTTTGAGATAGAATGAGAGGAAGTTAATTTTACTCTTGATGTCAAGATAAAGAGATTGTAAAGATTTAAGCTACAGTTTAGCTCAGTTCTTTTCTTTAGCCTACAGTGCAAATAACACATACTCAAGTTTCTTTGTTTTTGAGAATGACTTCTACTTGAAAGGGAACAGAGAAAGCTTATTACACAGAATTCTTCTCAACAAGATGTCTTTTTTCTCTGCCATGGAAGAAATGTGGAAATAGCTTTATCAAAATGCTTCTTTGTAATGATATTTCGTATGGATTTTTAGAATTTGTACTATTATATATCTTTACTAAAGTTGTAGTAGATCTTAGAGGTGAGTTTAGAATTTGTTAGAATTTTGAGATTTTATTTAATAGCCGAAATGTTTAAAATTCAGTTAATATAGCTATTGAAAAACTTCTGTATCCCAGCCATTGTGAATACAGAGATGATTTTAAGCATAGCAGGTTGGTTTACTGTAGATAATCAGTAAGTGGTATTTCCAGATGTTGAACGTGATTCGTTTAAAGGCCTTCCAACACAAAGACAGAGATAAGGAATTGAACTTAATTAACTGAGGAGCAAATCATTAGTTACGTATATTAGTTTGCTAGTGCTACCATAACAAAATACCACAAACTAGGTGGCTGACACAATAGAAATTTATTTTGTCAGTTCTGAAGGCTGGAAGTCCAAGATCAAGGTGCTGGCAGGTTTGGTTTCTCCTGTGACCTCTCTCCTTGGCTTGCAGATGGCTGTCCTCTTGATGCCGCTTCAGATGGGGGTACCGTTTCTGTGCATGTGCACCCCTGGTGTCTCTTCCTCTTCTTGTAAGGACACCAGTCATATTGGATTCAGGCTTCATTTTAATTTAATCACCTCTTTGAAGATCTTATCTCCAAATATGGTTACATTCCGAGGTACTAGGGGTAGGACTTCAACATGTGAATTTTAGGGGAACACAGTTAGCTCGTAACAGTAGGTAATGAAATCAAAGAAGGAAAACAGTACTACGTGTAATTTTTTTTTAAGTTACTTATTTTTTTTTCTTTTTATTTAATAAGGTTTGTGTAGAAGTACAATTGTTCTGTGTTTTTTGTTGTATATCTCCTAGCCGGAGAATTTTCATCCTTGGGCCTTCTCATCATGTGCCCCTCTCTCGATGTGCACTTTCCAGTGTGGATATATATAGGACACCTCTGTATGACCTTCGTATTGACCAAAAGAGTAAGTATATAGAAATCTTGCAGCTTTTAAACAGCTAAAGGTTTTTTTAATAGGGATTATGTTAATTAAAAATTAAAAATATGAATATTATAAGCAATATTTTAATTAAAAAAATAAAATTTATTGTAACTAACATGCAAAAAATAAAAACAAAGAGAGAAAATATTCCATCTACCTAAAAGATAACTGTGGTTTTTCTGCCAGCCACAAAAATCTGTCAGATCCGCTAGTCTCCAGACTGTAGTGGTTTCATTTATATTCAGGGAAGTACCATGTACTCATTGTACCATGAAATAAGAAATTGGTACCCACATCAACTTGATGAAAGATTCTGGGCATGTTAGTCTACCACTGTGTATATCACTTTCCTCACTGGAAATAGATAGTGGTGATAATGCCTTTATTTCCTCTCAGAAGATTTTTATGGGAAATAATGAGACTGTAGTTGAGAAATTCTGGAAGAAGAGTGCTAAGTAAATCTTATGTGTATTTTATTTTTAAAATGTCTATTATTTTGATTTTTTTTTCCACAGGATTCCAGAAATCACATTTTTTATTTAGTTGTGTCTCATACATTAAATGTGTAAAGTAAAACCTTTTAACTTTATAGTAGTATCTTTGGAGGAGTGAGGGGAGCATAATTTTAAAAATACGGAACAGTGCAGAGAATAGTGCAAACACTGGTGTACTCATCATCCACAATTGACTCAGAATTTCCTTCTCATCTGAAGTCAATTTACAGTCTCAAAAGTAACCACCTTCATGAACTTGGTGTGTGTCCTTCTAGTTCATTAAGTTATATTTTAAGTATGTTGGGTGCTTATTGTTTCAAGAAATTTTGCAACAAATTCTTCCTTAAAATGAAAGAAGACATTTGCAAAGGAGATGGTCACCTCTTTTTCTTTATTTTTTGGGCCTAAATTTTCATAATTTGGGGTTTTAAGTATCATAGAATGTTAACAATTTGTTGTAAGAATATATCTTATTAGTGAAGCTGGAGTGTTACTAGCCTTACTCTCTAGAGTGGTTTTAGGGAACACACTTTATTTTTAAAACCTTGTTGGGGCATTCAGAAAATTTTGGTTTTTGATAACCTACCAATGGAGGAATAGAAGATTTTTAATCAGGTATAATTTTGTAGGAAAAAAGTCATAACAATTTGTTTCTTTCTTTGATGCTAAACCCATTTAAGGATGTAGTTATAAAAATGTTGGTTCTGGGGCCAGCCCGGTGGCGCAAGCGGTTAAGTGCGCGCGCTCCGCTGCGGCGGCCCGGGGTTCGCTGGTTCGGATCCCCGGCGCTCACCGACGCACTGCTTGGCAAGCCATGCTGTGGCGGCGTCCCATATAAAGTGGAGGAAGATGGGCACAGATGTTAGCCCAGGGCCGTCTTCCTCAGCAAAAAATGAGGAGGATTGGCGGATGTTAGCACAGGGCTGATCTCCTCACAAAAAAAAAAAAAAAAAAAAAAAATGTTGGTTCTGTTCTATGATAAAAGAAAAATATTCTTATATCATCTTTTTTTATATATTAAATTTCATCATTTTCTTGCCATACAATATCCAGTTTTAAGTGTGATTCATCAGATGGGTCTGAATTACTAGATCATTTTAAGATCCTTTATGGCATGGTATTGTGGTGAATTTATGTTCTGGTCTATCCCATAAGCTTAATTGTTAATTTTGAGGAAAATAACTTTCATAGTGGGAATTTTCCGTGCTTAGTATGGCAGGTACCTGAGGTGTGAAATAATAATCCCATACATTTTATTAAAAAACAAAACAAAACTCCAAAACTATATTATTGGCCTCATGAGTAAGAAGACCAGTGGTTTTTCCATATTTCAGGAGGAGTTCTAATCAACTATCTGCTTGTTAGCATGTGCTGATTAAAGTCAAGGAAAAGCTTAGACCCAGAGGTGACTTGAGATATAATGAAAGGAACTGATGAAAAATTTAAATTACTATTTTTTATATAACTATGTAACATAGGAAAACGCTGAGTAAGTCATTACATGTGTTATTGTTTTGTCTGGTATGTAAAGCTGGTTTCTTTTTTTAAAATAAAAATGAAGGAAAATATTATGTGGTGCTTCTGTTCCTTGCCAAAGCATGTAGTTTCGTGGTACTGGGGGAGTCTAGGATAAGGCTATACATTAATATGTTTGTTTTACTCTATTTTGAAATCTCTTTAGTTTACGGAGAACTATGGAAGACAGGAATGTTTGAACGCATGTCTCTGCAGACAGATGAAGATGAACACAGTATTGAAATGCATTTGCCTTATACAGCTAAAGCCATGGAAAGGTATATTGATTAATGTAAGAAATCCCAGAGAAATCATAGATAATTAATTTCTTTGGAATTATTTTAACTAGGGTAAGATAATCATTAGGGTAAAGAGATTTAAAAAAATTTTTGGTATTTGAAATGAAGTAAAAGTATGAGATTGGGTTTTCTTAATGTGGATTGAAGTTGGTTTTGAGTAGTTTGCCTATGAAGGCTGACCATATGAATTGACATGGTTGTTTTATTAGGTGGAAATATAAAAAAAACCCACGTGTGTGTGTGTATGTGTTTGTGGATATTGGTTTGCATGTTATTTTATTCATTAGACATTTATCTCAGAATAACAATTACATTCTTTTATTGTATAGTGCTATAAGTAAGTAATAATAAAATTTTAGATTTGGAAGTAACATTGGAGGTCATTTATTTTAGGCTTATACAAAGTACATGAATCTCTTTTATAATATGCTTGACAGATTATTATTTGGTACCTGCTAAATATCTTCCAGTGATAAGGGTACTCACTAGACGATAAGGAGAGGAGGAAGGGACGATATCTGTTTTGTTCTTCATTTATACCCCAGTGCCTAGCACAAGACCCATCACATAGTAGTCATTAATTTATTTTGGTAAAATGAAATAATTGTTTTAAGAGCTTTCTTTCTTCTTTTAGGGCAGTATTCAAATTAGAAAGTCTTCCTTTTGTAGATCACATTTCTCTAATTTTTTCAACCATTCCCTTTATTTAGACTTACTATTCCATATACAGTTTGACTAGTTCTGAATATGGTGAGATTATTCTATCTCTAGATCTTGTCACTGCATTCTCTTAGTAAAGTATGTGATGCGTTGTAGGTTCTCAGTAAATATTTGTTGATTAAATGTGTTAATGAGGTCCAAGATTACATTAACATTTTTTATTTGGATATGGCGTACTTACTATTGGTTAATGTACTTGTGGTCAGCTAAAGCCCAAGCCTTTTTCATACTGTTAAGCTGGATTATTTTCTCCTCTTGTACTTTTGTGGTTGATTTCTTTTTAACTGTAAATGTGTATGTCTCCTCAATTACTTCTGTTTAATTTTTTTCTTGTTGATTTTAGTCCATTATTCTAGTCTTTTTGTATCATTTCCACTCTTAATTCTGTTATCAAAGTATAATTTACTTCTCTCAGTCTTATGTTATCGGCACCTGTTCACAATGATACCTTTGAGGAATTACATAAACCTGCAGAAGTTTCCAAAAATCGCTGATATTAAATTATAAGCAATATAATTTGTTTATAATGTGTTTTTAATATATTCTAATTCTTCAGAAATTGTTAAACCAATATATGCTGTTTATTTCTTGTAATGTTAGCGTAATCAGAACATTCCATTCTTCAACTACACAGGATAATAGAAACTTTCATTATTTGCTAAAATGTTTGCGTATTTTGTCATGAGAAAATATATTTTAGACTTAATAAATTTCAATACAACAGAAGCAATAAGCTGCCAACCATATCCTTAGGGAGGTTTTAATAAAATAACATTTTGTTGTTATATTAAAAGTAGAACATGTGCAATGTGGAAAATTTAGGAAAATAGAAACTTAAAATTGCTGTTCATAATTCTCCCTCTATTAAATACAGTCATGCGTCCGTTAACAATGGGGATATGTTCTGAGAAATGTGTCATTGTGTGAACATGATGGAGTGTACTTAGACAAACCTAGAAGGTATAGCTTGCTATACACCTATGCTGTATGGTACTGATCTTATGGGACCGCCATTGTATATGTGGCCCATCGTCACATGAAATGTCGTTAGGCACTGTGTTTTTGGTGTTAAATATCACTTCTCAAAAAAGCCTTTCTTATCTCCCAGATTACGTTAGGATCCCTAATACTGACTCTTAGAAACTACCCAGTACTTTTCCTTTGTAGCCTTTGCTGTACTTGCTACGTGTATCAGTTATCCAGTACTGAGTAACAAATTGCCCCAAAACTTAGTGGCTTAAAATCACAACTATTTTATTGCTCACAATTTTGGGGTCAGGAGGTAGGCCAAGGAACACCTGGCTCTCTGGTCCACAAGATGTTGACTAAGGTAGCTCGAATGGGGCTAGAGGATCCAAGATGGTCTTAGTGCTGGCTTTTAGTTGAGACACTTCATTTGTTCCCTAGGTGGCCTATTTGTTTGTCAGCCAGGGCTTTTCTGTCTTCTTGGCCTCTCTCTAGAAGGATAGCTTGGATTTCTTTACATGGTGTTTTAGGGTAGCAAGAGAACACAAACAGAAGTTTCTTGGCCTATTAAGGCCCAAGCCTGAAACTACATAGCATCATTTCCACTGCATTCCGGTTTTCAAAGCAGAACACAATGTCAGCCAAGATCTAAGGGAAAGAGAAATAGATCCCACCTCTTGATGGGAGGAGTACCATATGTGTACAAGAATAGGAGGCGTTGTTGGCAGCCATCTTTGCAGATGGACTACCACAGTTCTTCCTGTGATGGACAATTCACATCTCTCCAACATGCAGTACGTACTCACCCCTCCTAAGATGCCCAGAAATCTTATCCAGTTATGACCTCATGTTCAAAGTCCATTATCTTATGATTTGCATTAGGTTGAGATATGGATGAGGCTCGTTGGGTAAAGCTCCTTTTGATTTGGATGCCTGTGAACTAAGAAGACAAGTTACTAATCCCAGTTACTAATCCTCCCCCCGCCCCCACACCAAAACCATCAATATACAATTTTGAGACAGTTAACCACAATAGATACTCCCATTGGAGAGTGAAAGAATGGGAAGCATATAGCAGTCTCTGGTCAAAAGCAATTTTGAAATCTAACCAGAGAACAGAGAGTGTCCTTGATAATGGCTTGGTTCTATCTTCTGGTAGTGGCTTCATAATTATTTTTCTCAGCTCTTGGCTAGGTCGTTTGGGCCCTTGGCTGTACTTGCTGAGTCATTTCTACTTTGCCTTAAGAAATGGACCTTATTTACACCTGAGTAGCAGTTTCAGTCTGCTTCATGTATGTCACATTTTAAGAGCCTAAAGGTCTCTTTTCATTTGGAACAGTGTTTTTTTTTAGTCTAAACTGATAGAACTCCATTAAACACTTTGTAGGTTTTCCATATATCAGATTATAAGTGCCCTCCATTAGACAGAAGTCACATCCACCATTCTTTCTGAGGCAGGACGCTTTCTATTTTGGATCCCAAGTTAGAGTCCTGTAAGTTTCTTAGAAGCTCTTTTGCCTACCTGACAGAGTATGCAAGCATTGTCTTAAATCTTTCTGAGGTCTTAACAAAGGATCTATGGATGCTTTTCTTTCTTTCTTTCTTTTTTTTTTTTTTTCCTTTGATGAAGATTGGCTCTAAGCTAACATCTTTTGCTAATCCTCCTCTTTTTGCTTGTGGAAGATTACCTCTGAGCTAGCATCTGTGCCTGTCTTCCTCTATTTCGTACGTGGGACGCTGCCACACATGGCTTGATGAGCGGTGCATAGGTCTGTGCCTGGGATTTGAACCTGCAAACCCGGGGCTGCCGATGCAGAGCATTTGAACTTAACCACTACACCACTGGGCCGGCCCCTGTGGATGCATTTTTGATTTGATGATTGTGAGTGCATGTTTTATTGGCAGCACTCTGGATATGATCTTCGTCTTCATGCTGTTTCTTTGACAATCTTTGGCTATCTGTAGAGGCTAGTGATGAGCAACAGTTATTTTCCAATGAAGCAACTCCTGGTTAGAAATATTTCCTTTAAATTTTGCTTGCAATTGTTTTTTTTTGGCCCTGAGCTAACATATGTGTCCATCTTCCTCTATTTTGTATGTGGGACGCCGCCACAGCGTGGTTTGATGAACAGCGCATAGGTCCACGCCTGGGATCTGAACCCGCGGACCCTGGGCCGCCAAAGCAGGGTGCGTGAACTTAACCACTATGCTACCAGGCCAGCCCCATCTGCTTGTAGTTCTTTAGCTCATGTTTTTCTTCTTGTACCTTCTCATACTTGGTTATAAAGAAACCATTGTCGTTTTGAATATTTTGCCTGGAAATCTTCTTAGCTAGATCTACAAGTTCACTAGGTATATTTTTAAACTTCTGAGTTACTGCAGGTGACAGTTATGCTAATTGTTCTGCCAGTATATAATATGGGTCACCCGTCTTCTAGCCTTCTATAGCAGTTTCCTTACTGCTGTTCCAGTTTCCAGTCTCCTTCTTGCCCTTTCAGCTTCTGCTTGCCTCTGTGTCCCAAAAGCCAATATTGTATGTTTTAGGTTTCAATCACAGTAATACCCTTTCCAAGTACCACTTTTTGTCTCAGTTTCTATTGCAGCATGACAAATCACTTCAAAATGCCTTTGTTTTTGCTTATGATTCTGTGGGCTAGAAATTTGGTCAGAGGTGAGTGGCAACAACTCGTCTCTATTTTATCTTCTGCCAGTTGACTTAGGCTGGAGGCTTCAAGATGCCTTTGTTTCTTTTCTGAGACTGTGGTGTTGGTTGTCTACTGAGGCACCTTAGTTCTCATCTTGGTGCTGTCTCTCCTAGTTGTCACTCATTCTTCAGGGCCTGTCTCTGCACCTGATTGTCCCTCTCCAGCAGGATAGCCTTGGACTATCAAGAAGTACCGGGCAGTTCAGGGTAGCAAGAAAGCAAAAGTAGAAACTTCCAGGCCTGTTAATATCTAGGCTTGGAACTGGCATTGTATCACTTATGCCACAATCTACTCGTCAAAGCAAGTCATAAAGCTAAGTTCAAGGGAAGGGAGAAATAGACTCTACTTTTGATGGGAGGAGTGGCATGAGCATTCAGAGGTGGGGGGAATTTTTGGTGATTGCATTTGCAGACAGCCTACTATAGTACCACTGCAGTTAAGTAGCTTTTTGGGTGATTATGTATGTATAAGTCTGTTTCCTTTCTCTGATAGTTCCCTAATTTGTTCCCTGCCTGAGGGCAGCTGCTCTACTCTGTATCTTCTTTACCCAGTACACAAAGGGATTTCAATAATTAATTGTTGAATGAC